CTTGAAAACTAGAGCCAATCAACAATTTAAACATCATTTTCGTTCTCAGTGACCCAGAATTAGTAAAGTTTGACGACATTTATTTCAGAAGCATTTTGGCTGTAGAGCAGTGTTTACAGAGTCCTCGTCAAAATCAAGCAGGACAGGGTGAAGGTGATCCGCATAGCGCCGGCTTGACCAGCACTGGACACACTGCTGGACCTCTCGTTGGCTGGTCCATTACAGCTGCTACTCAGGCCAGACCTGCTGTCCCAAAACCATGGCAATCTTCCGCATCTGAACCTGGTGGCGCTGCACCTGACGGCTTGGCTGCTGCATGGTTAAATGCAGAGGAGCCAGATTGCTCGGCCTCTGTCCAGCAGGTTCTGTTGGGCAGCAGAAAGCCCTCCACCAGAGCGACCTACCTGGCCAAATGGAAGTGGTTCACTTATTGGACCTCGGCTAAAGGCATTTGGCCTGAGTGTGTCTCGCTGCAGTTGATCATGGACTACCTTCTGCATCTCAAGTGCCAAGGCCCATCCCTTTCATCTGTCAAGGTCCACTTGGCCGCTATTTTGGCCTTCTGTCTGCTGCTTGAGGGTAGGTCGGTTTTTGCCCGGGATATGACTGCCAGGTTCCTCGAGTGCCTCTACTCATACATCAGGGACCCTGTTCTGCCATGGGACCTGAATCTTGTGCTGTCATGGCTCACGGGACTCTCCTTCAGGCCTCTGGCTTCCTGCTCTCTCTTTCTCCTGTCCTTGAAGATCGCGTTCCTAGTTGTGATAACCTCCATCTGCCGGGTCTCCGAGATTAGAGTGCTTACCTCGGAACCATCCTATACAGTTTTCTACAAAGACAAGGTCCAGCTGCGGCTACACCTGGCTTTCCTGCCCAAGGTGGTCTCGCAGTTTCATATGGGCCAGGACATTTACCTACCTGTCTTTTCCAAAGCTGCATAAGTCGGAAGAGGAGTGTAGATTGCATTCTCTAGATGACAGGAGGGTGCTAGCCTTCTACATTGAAAGGACCAAGCCATTCCACAAATAGACGCAATTCATCGCAGTGGCTGACATGATGAAAGGTCGTCCAGTGTCCGCTCAAAGAATTTCTTCTTGGATCACTGCCTGCATTTGCTGCTGTTACGATCAGGAGACGGAGCCACCTTGGGTGATTGTCACTGCCCACTCAACCAGGGTGCAAGCCTCTTTTGGCAGTTTTCCTAGCCCGAGTGCCTATCCAGGACATCTGTAGGGCGGCCAGCTGGCCGTCCGTCCATCCACATGTTCACGTCCCATTATGCACTTACCCAGCAGGCCCGGAACGATGCTGGCTTCAGTAGAGCAGTACTGCAAGCTGCTGAATTGTGAACTCCAAGCCCACCTCCGAGAATACTGCTTGTGAGTCACCTAGAATGGAATTGACATGAGCAAGCACTCAAAGAAAAAACGGTTACCTACATTTTCATAACTGTTCTTCGAGCTGTGTTGCTCATGTCCATTCCATTACCCACCCTTCTGCTCCTCTGTCGGAGTTGCCGGTAAGAAGGAACTGAGAGGATGTAGGGTCGGCAGCGCCTAATATACTAGCGCATGATCACGGCATTCAAGAGGGTGCTACAGCCGACCCTATGGGTACCGCTAAGGCAAAAATCTCCAATGACTGTGCATGTGGATACGCACACACCTAGAATGGAATGGACAGGAGCAACACATCTCAAAGAACAACCGTTACAAAAAGGTAGGTAACCGTTTTTTAAGGTTTTAATGCCTCCATCATACATGAAAGATATGCATGTGCTGGTTGGAAGGTCAGTTAAGGACTGAGGTAAAATTGTTGGATGACTGTAACTGTGCATTTCTGTATTTCCTTGTGTGAGGCTTTTTTCTTTAAGTGTAACTTTAACTTTGTCTTTTCCTAAAGAATGAAAATTCCAAAAAAAATTTCTGCCTTTTCAGAACACTGGCTTTGGTTAAACCTGATGCAGTGCCCAAGATTGGAGAACTAATTGATATCATCATTAATGCTGGGTTTACAATAACTAAAGCCAAAATGATGGTACTTTCACGGTAAGGCTCTAGTAACGTTCCCTGTAGGATTTGATTATTTTGTACTGAAGTGTATCCTCACAGTTATTCCATGTTATTCAGAACATTCGATCTATTCCACTGAGTAGCAAAGAGAATAATGTTTCATAATCATATCTAGGTTTCTCATATGATGCCTAATTCAGGATGTTTGTTGGGCTTAGCCTGCAGCAGAGTCTGTCTCCCGGCAATCCGGTGAATGCAGCTGGCTCTGATAGAAGCTGTCTGATTGAGCCACCTGATTGATTGAAGGAATGAACAGGCTGATACTTATGCTCAGTAGCAGTTCAGTTGCTGCTCAACGCATTCTTAGCCCATAGCTGTGTTTGGTCCTGCCCTTGCCCCCCACTTCCTCTAGGTTGGTTCCTGCTCCAGCCTCAGGCTGCTCCTGTTCCACCCCCCAACTCCTTTTGACTTCTGATTCCCAGCTCAGATCCTCGACTCCACCTTCTGTCTGTAAATCCGATTGACCCTTAGGCTTTGGACTCTGACGCCGGCCTGTGATCCTTGACTTCGCATCTGGATTCAGCTCAAACTGGTATGCCAGAGTCATGCTCCAGCCATTAGGCCAGACTGCCCACAGCTCGGTCACTGATAGTTTGAGGAACCCAAAAGATTGAACAAGGGTGGGTAAGATGGATTCCTCAGAGGCAGCCATGCCCCTGCAGGACATTTTGGGAATCCTGCAGCCCCTACGGTCCCAGGTTATGGTCTTGCAGTACAAGCTGCAGCGCTACAGGCTCAAGCTGCCCTGGCTTCTAGGGAGTTGGAGATTTTAATGCAGGATAAGTTTGATGGGGACCATAACAAATTCCGTTGTTTCATGAGCTAGTGCTGGCTCCTGTTCCTGCATTGGCCCCCGTCATTCTCCACTGACCAGACCCAAGTAGGACTTATTATTAGTCTGCTAACCAGCGAGGCCCTGGGTCTGGGCATCTCCCCTCCTGGAGACTTCTACCCCCATAATGGGACAGTTCAAAGAGTTCCATGTGTCCCTTCTGAAACCGTATGTGGAGAATCCCTTTCCCAGCCACTCTGCTCCATCACCATCTCCCACAGATGCCCAGGCCAAAAGGAGCACGAGGTCTGGGAAATCCAAGACTCTGATAGAATGTGAGGCAAACTCAGACCCTTGGCTCCATCTTTTGACTGTGACTCCAGTTGACCAGCTTAGGCTTTAGTCTCTGACTCCTTGCTAGGACTCTGGGCTTTGCTTCTGGAACCACCCGCACTGGATTCAGCTCTAACTGGTAGGCCAGACTCTTCATCCAACGATTAGGCCAGACTGCCCATGACTCAGTCGCTGACAATGTCTGAGTAATACAAAAATGTTGTATACAAATGTCATTGGTCTTACTGTAAGTAAATATAGTACATGCCTTTTATAAAACTGAAATCAATATCATGGGTTTAAAGCTCAGATAATGTTTCTTTGCCCCTGCCCTGAATTGCTTGACTTCATAATGCAAACTGAACTGATGATTGTTGTATAATTCTATAGAGGTGGTTGGGTTATTGCCTTGCAATAAATCCACATTCTTAAAATCATAGGACTGGAAGGGACCTCATCCTTAACCACCCTGACAGATAGGAAGTTTTTCCTAATGTCCACCCTTGCTGCAATTTAAACCCATTGCTGCTTGTCCTATCCTCAGAGGCTAACAAGAACAATTTACCTCCCTCCCTCCTTGTAACAATCTTTTATGTACTTGAAAACTGTTATCATGTGCCTCTTCAGTCTTCTCTTCTCCAGCCGAAACAAGCCCAATTTTTTCAATCTTCCCATAGGTCGTGTTTTCTAGTCCTTTAATCATTTTTGTTGTTCTCCTCTGGACTTTCTCCAGTTTGTCCACATTCTTGCCGAAATGTGGCACCCAGAACTGAACACAATACTCCAGTTGAGGCCTAATCAGCACAGAGTGGAGTAGAAGAATTACTTCTCATGTTTTGCTTACAACTCTCCTGCTAATGCATCCCAGAATGATGTTTGGTTTTTTTTGCAGCAGTGTTACACTGTTGGCTCATATTTAGCTTGTGATCCACTATGACCCCAGATCCCTTTCTACAGTATTCCTTCCTGGGCAGTCATTTCCCATTTTGTATGTGTGCAACTGATTGTTCCTTCCTAAGTAGAGTACTTTGGATTTGTTCTTACTGAATTTCATCCTATTTATTTCAGACCAGTTCTCCAGTTTGTCCAGATCATTTTGAATTTTAATCCTATCCTCCAAAGCACTTGCAACTCCCAGCTTGGTATCGTCCTCGAAGTGTATTCTCTATGCCATTATCTAAATCATTGATGAAGATATTGAACAGATCCAGACCCAGAACTGATCCCTTTGGCACCCCACTCAATATGCCCTTCCAGCATGACTGTGAACCACTATTGATTACTCTCTGGGAATGGTTTTCCAACCAATTATGCACCCACTTTGTAGTAGTTCCATCTAGGTTGTATTTTCCTACTTTGTTTATAAGAAGGTCATACTAAAGTCGATATAAAGTCAAGATTTGGCTCTAGGATCACAGAGCCCTGCTCCCCGGACACACCACAACCTGTTGAGCATGAGTAAGGACAGGGCCAGGGCCAGCCCATGCATGGATTTTGAACCCCCTACCTTGTGCCCCCCCATGTTCCTGAGCAGCAAAATTTGGTGACGAGGGCAAGAAGAAAGGAAGAGTTAGTAGATCTCCCATGAAGGATTTCCCCAAAGTCACTGCACTGCTCCTCAGCTGTGGCTGTGTCAGACCTCTCTACTCAACATCTCTGAGAGGAAAAATCATTCTCACAGGATTCTTACTCTTGCGTCTTGTGGTTCCAGTACAAGACAAAGGGAGGTATTCCTTTATCTTTTCTGTCCTCTGAGGTAGTGGTAGGACAGTGCTAGACCACCCCTTCAGTAGTCACATATTGCTGTCTGTGACTATTCCAGTCCCCAGAACCTGCTCCACAGTTCCAGTTCTTGAGTGCAGCCCTCTCATCCCTGCAGTCTTTTCTTAATATGAACCATTTTGCGGCCTGACTTAACTTCTGCTGTCTTGGCGTGTTGCTCCTGGAGCATTGGGTGCTTCCTTGTTTTTATATGTCTGTTTCTCTGTGTAACCACTTTATATATTTTGGATTTTGCTTACCTTGAGGAAAAGAAATCCAAACAGTTTATAGAAGATGTAAATTTTTATTACCTTTTGTTTAGAAAAGTCCCTTGCCTGCCCTGCAAAATGAAATATTATTATTAATGAACCCATAATTGGACAGTGATGTGGGATGAATCTAAAATGGTGGCTGGGTATTTGTGGTTTTCACAGGACCCTGTACTTTTGTCTCTTGGACTTGCACCATATTTTTAGTGATAGCCTATAGTAATGCCAAAGTCCTAATGCCAAATATCCCTCTAGGTTGGCTTGTCCAGATCAGCTTCTGCTTTTTAAAATTTATTTATTTATTTTACTGCTGACATTTGCCTGGCAGACCCTGTTAACTTGATTCACACCTTTTGTAAAACCCATTGCTTCGATATGAAAGCAAGGGCAGACACCTGCTTTCATATGTCAGTTCTCCAGTCTCTTCAGCTAATCACTTCTCAAATCAGCTCATTGTCCAGATGAATGCAACTTTCCATGTTCTACAAGTGGGGATCTGCTGACAGAGAATGGGAACTAGGGTTACAGCTAGCAAGATAGTCTTTATATTTAATGCCATAGGAGATTTTTGAGTAAGCAGTAGGGCTGAGCAAATATTTTGAAAAAATATCCACAAATATTTGTTCAGATTTATACATTATGTAGCTTAGACTGAGTTCATGCCCCCTTTCTGTACACTTCCCATGAATATTCTAGTGAATTAGCTTATTGGTAAGAATTATTGCTGAAATAGGGAATTTTAAGCAAATATTTAGAATATTTGTGGAAAGTAGTTTTTGATTTGACATAATGAGTATTCACATGAAAAGCTTCCTTCTGAAAGCGTCACTCCTCCAATCAATAAATAGAAACATACCACAAGACCTGTCCAATTAAAAAGGCTCAAATTTTGAATGTCAGATACTTGCAGTTGAAAAGCAACGCATTTAGAACTACTGGAAGGATATACTCTTCTACAGATTAGTTACATGTTGTGTAACTCATTCCTACAAGATTCCATACAAGCCATGAGCTTAGTAGAATTCGAAAGAGGACCCAGAGGATTATCAATTTTTCTGGGTAAAAGGAATATTCAGAGTTGCACTTGTTATGATAAAAATGTATCAGGTATATTAACCCTGATGCTTTAGGGTATAAGCCACCCACAAACTACCTGGTATTGGGAGAAACTTCCCACTTAGGCACATTAATGAACAATTATACATTAATGATTCATGCAAGGTTTTTTTTAAATCTTTTCTAGGAAAGAAGCAATGGATCTCCACGTAGACCATCAATCAAAGCCCTTTTACAAGTAAGTACATACTTTTGAGGTTATGTTCATTTACTGTACAGGAAAAGATTGTCCTGGAAAACTTTCTTTACAGTGCATGGCATTCATTTCACATGCCTGTGACACTACAAGAATGTGGCAAAACCAGAACTGGGCTTAAGTTTTAAGGGAGCCTATGCAAAGTTTTGTGTGGGGACCCCATCCAACTTCCTCCTAAGATGGACCTAGCTGTCCGGGGCCTAGTTCCACAATCCTATGCCCCATCAAGCGCCAATGAATGCATCCACCCTATGAGATGTGAAAAGTACCCTAGCTAAAAAGAAGCATGAGAGGGAGACTCTCCAGATACAGAATATGGCTTGCAATCAGTGAGAATTGCAGAGTACCATCCAGTCCTGGATACCCTTCTGGTAGCAAATACGCAAAAGCACAAGTATTTCAAAAATTGTGGCACCTGGGGCACATGTCTTATGTATGGCTGGTCCTGGACAAGATACAGAACTCTGTGTAAAAAGAACAGGAGTACTTTTGGCACCTTAGAGACTAAGAAATTTATTTGAGCATAAGCTTTTGTGGGCTAAAACCTGTGTGTGGCTCTGCTGTTTCGTATTGCATGAAACTATGAAATACTTGATCTCTCCAGAAACACTGGATGAAAATATTTATATATTGTGTGTATGTAGCTGTATAAAATCTTTTTCAGTTTCCTCATGCATCAAGTTTAATTAGGGTGCATAATGGATAAAAATGCTATTTGTTATTTACATGTAGGCTTTATCCGACTAGCAAAGATGGTGGGATAGCTAATCTATTCCTGAGTCTGGACCCAGGTTAACAGCTTTTATCACAGTGTAGTTGGTCAAGGCCAACCCTAGTTAGGGCTTGTCCCACACTGCCACTTACAGCGCTGAAACTTTCCTCGCTCAGGGGTGTGAAAAAACAGTTCCCTGAGTGATGCAAGTTTCAGCGCTGTAAAGTGACAGTGTAGACAGTGCACCAGCGCTGGGAGCTATTCCTCTCGTGGAGGTGGTTTTTTTCCAGCACTGGGACAGCTCTCTCCCAGTGCTGGAACCGCGACTACACAGCTACGTTAAAGTACTGTTGTGGCAGCGCTTTAACGTCAGCTGTGTAGACATACTTACGTTTTTGGTCATGCAGAACAAGAAATTGCAACTGACAGAGAGCCAAGTGCAGCACTGTTGTGAGGTTCTTGAGCATTGGGAATATAGTAATTGCCACCTAATTCTAGGAGCAGCAATTGGTTTGTGTAGGTGCAGGTTGTTTCCTTCTGTCCACTGTAGAGAAATGACCCTACGAAATGTCAGACTATAGCAGGGGTCAGCAATGTTTCAGAAGTGGTGAGCCGAGTCTTCATTTATTAACTCTAATTTAAGGTTTTTCATGTGCCAATAATACATCTTCATGTTTTTAGAAGGTCTCTTTCTATAAGTCTATAATATATAACTAAACTATTGTTGTGTGTAAAGTAAATAAGGTTTTTAAAATGTTTAAGAAGCTTCATTTAAAATTAAATTAAAATGCAGAGCCCCCCGGACCGGTGGCCAGGACCTGGGCAGTGTGAGTGCCACTGAAAATCAGCTCGCGTGCTGCCTTTGGCACGCGTGCCATAGGTTGCCTGCCCCTGGACTATAGTATAGATCCTAGGAAAACAAAGAGTTGTCATTTTTTCTTTGCTGAGTAAGTCTGCTTGAATAAATTTATAAATGAACAAGAGTTCTGTCTGCAGTGTTATTTCATGGATTGCTAAACTAATGGCCGGCTGAGAAACTGTAAGCCCTCTATTCACTATGATGTACTCTGTCTGCCATCCAGCGATACCTGATATCTGTTGTATGGGATTTTGCTATAGTAAGTGAACCGAAAAAGTATCCTCACACTGATAAAATTTAAATTCTCATACCCAATTACATATAGCATTTTATTAGAGGTTTATTATGGTGTTTCATAAACAAGGACTTTCAGATTTAATTGGCAAGATCGGTAGTTAATGAAAGTTTACTGAATAGCAGGAAAAAGTAGCTATTAACTTTTGGGGGATTAAATGTTAAATTTCATATTTTACATATGCATTAACGTAAATAGCTTGCGCAGCAGTTATTTTTAAGAAATAAGGAGCATTTCAGAAATTATTTTTTGTCCCTGTGTCTGTATTTGTCTATAAGCCATAAAAAAGTAACCTTAACAATAACTGAATAAAAAAAAATCTTGCACAACTTTTTCATTCATTGTGCAGCATCCAGCCTTCAAACTGAATGAGGGGGGTTGCTGCAGAGATGATAGTATGTGACTGTGTAACTGAAAGCTATATCATGATGAATATGTTCATGGGAGCAGAATTAAGGTTACATCTATTCAAAGTTAACTTTGGGATTTCCTGGTTTTTGAGTCTTTAACCATGCATTCCTTATGTTTTCCTCACATCACCTTCTCTTTATTCAAATCTTTCCCCAATATCTGATGACTTCCATGATACCAAGAAATTGAGAGTTTGCAATACAAAAAGTAACAAACAACTTTCTTTTCCCTGCTCTGTATTTCCCATTATATAGTGACTTCTCAGTCTGTCTGTTTCAATGAAAAGACTGCAGCAGACTGCAGGGAAGGGATTGTCTTTATCTCTGTGGCTTGTACAGCACTGCCTGTGCTAAACAAATAAGAAATTAATGTTATAAAATTACATACAGTATATTTTCATCTTATCTTACTTTTTCCCTTAATCACACATTATTAGCAAAGCTAATAGGGGCCTCTTTCACTAGAATTCAGTTTCCCATTTCAGTGAGGGACAGAGATTAGAGTCCCCTCCATGTCTCATGGGGAAGAAGCACATGGTGGAGTGAATATTTTGAGGCGACACATGTTTGATGCAAGGCCTCTCACAGATGTGAGGGAGCATGCACAGGTTGAGTGTGTGTCCCTCTGTGAGAGAGAGAAGCTAATTGGAGAGGATTGCAAGTACTGGATAAGAGGATTTAGAGGTGGATGAAGAAGGCAGAGGTCTCTAATAGGAGTGTTCATGTTGCCTTAATGGGGAAAAATGTACAGGCTGAGTAGAGTCTGTTAGATGGGCACCAATGTGTCTACAATGTGGAAGGAGCATTGAGCACAAGTGGAAAGAAGGAATGGCTCACCCGTGGTTTTTTGCCTCCATTTCCCCTGCCTTATCCTACCCAGTATTCCTCCAGAGCCTGGTGTTACACACCATCATGTGTGATAATTTGTGCTGTGGACTGTTATCCTTTCCTATGACACTAGTGAGAGTTGAGAACCGGTCCATAGATTTTGTTGTTCTCTGTATAGTGAATTCCCTGCCTGCTCTATGTTTGTTTTGCAGTGAGCTTCTCCAGTTTATTGCAAGTGGTCCTGCTGTTGCCATGGAGATCTTAGGAGATGATGCTGTGTCTGAATGGAAAAAGTTACTGGGACCTGCAAACTCTGGCGTGGCTCGTTCTGATGCCCCGGGCAGCATTAGAGCAATGTTTGGAACAGATGGCATAAGAAATGCAGCTCATGGCCCTGACTCTTTTGCTTCTGCTGCTCGAGTAAGTTTTTTTAAATATATTTATTCATTATGTTCATTTGCTAAGCTGTATTTTTACTTAATCTGATGATCAGGCTGCAATCAGTACAGAAATCCCACTTATTTTTTTCATTTGAATTTAGTGCTGATTTAAATGTTCTTCAGTGACACGTTTGTAGACAGTCTCTTTATCCACAGTGCAAATAGCAACTGTGCAAGCTACACTGCCTATATACTTCCACCCCGGCCTGGAGGGACTAACCTTAAAAAATGTGGCCAAGGACACTGGGACTAACCCATCTGCCACATTCTACACCACTTTCTGGCAGAATTCGATTATTATTTTTTTATAATTTCAGCAGATATTGAGGTTTGTAAGATTTTTTTTTTTAAAGATTTTTATCTATTTAAATGTTCACAGCTGCAGGAAATTATGGGGAGGCAGTCAGGTAATTCTTTAATGACAGTAGACATTGAGATTCAAAAGGTTAAAGCTTTATAAGCTGCAAAAACTCAAATTGTCAACATCACATGTCAAAATGGACAGAGTAAAATATCCTTACATGAACTAATACCTGCTCTTACTATTCATTCGTTAGTCCCTTTGTAACAAGCCTGATTCAAAAATCTAAATCACTGGATTTGACCCATAAAGTCTTACTTTGTGTATGTGTGTAAATTTTGATTATTACCAAAGAAAATATTTTTGTTGGTTTATGTGTCTATGCTAAAATCAACATTTGCCAATTAAAATGTAATCCTTCCAAGCCTATATATAATACAGATGCTTTAACTTTGAGTTAATTAGGTAGACTGCATGGCTTAGCAATGCAAATTCTAAAAAGCTAGGAAATAAGCAGTTAAATCATTCAACGCCCCATCAACGTTCCACTCATCCCTTCCCAACCATAATTACTTCCTTTCCGCCACCCACAGCCCACATATCTCAACCGTCATCCTGAACAATCAGCAGGCACCCTGGAATTCCAACCATGTTCAGAGCTTATAGTCCTGTGTTTTGATGGTTCATATGAGTAAGAGCTTTCATAAATTTCATCGTATGTGGCTTTGGACTGGTGTGTGTAAGTGAGGTAAAATGTCATTTTACAATCAGTTTGCAATCTGTTTTTCTGTAATATTTAGGAAAAGCTGTAGGATTGGGTGACCTCTTATAAATATTTATGTAGAAGTTACAGAGTTGAAATTTGTGAGTGCATGGTGGTGTTACAGATGTGTGGTTGCATATTGATTAGTATGAGTGTGTGCTGTGAAGTGAAATAAATGGGTGTTTGAATGACTTAACACAAACTGAAATACACCAATAAATAGTTGTAGCTGAACAAGCTTAACTCAAAGTTAACAGAGGTTCTGTGTGGACATTTCCCATGTTTTAATAAGCTTGTATCAATGTTAGCAGTTAATCATGTAGATGGCTCTCTCCCCTTTATATCCCCCCACAGATTCCCAGATCTTCTGTGCATATCCTGAATTGCCCCAGGCTTCACCTTGCATAACCCTGCTCATCCTTAACCATCCCCACTGCCAGCTTCACCACATGCTCCCCCCATACTTTGTTCCCTAACATGCCCCTCTTCATTCCTACCATGCTCAGCTTTTAAAAGTTTATATGTATCAATATATACATATTGTTACATATTATCATTGGCAGATATAAACATTGCCAAAACTTAAAAATATTGACGTGCATGTGTTAGGGGAGTATAGGGGCATGCTTAAGGAGCAGGGCTCTGATAAGTGACACGTTGGGAGCTCTGGGTGCTATGGGGGAGCAAGTGTCTGAGGTGGGGTCTGGGTGGGAACTTGTGGGGGGGATGTGATGGGTTCGGTCACAGAAATCCCCTTAAGACTGTCACCTGATGTCTGAAATTACCTCTGAGCCCGTTTTCCCTGCCAGCGTGGGACTTCCAGAACCCTGTCTTGTTGAGCCAGACACGCAACCTGCTGCAGCACAGACCCAGGTCTGGTCCATGCTCCCAAAGCTGCAGACTTAACTGAAAACAGCTCAGCAGGTCACCTGTCTCCAGCACCCAGACACCCAGTTCCCAATGGGATCCAAACCCCAGATATATCTGTTTTATTCTATATAAAGCTTGTACAGGATAAATTCATAAATTAACACTGATAGAGAGATATGCACAGCTGTTTGCTCCCCCAGGTATTAATCACTTACTCTTGGTTTATTAATAAACAAAAGTGATTTTATGAAGTATAAAAAGTAGGATTTAAGTGGTTTCAAGTAACAACAGACAGAACAAAGTAGGTCACAAAGCAAAATAAAGCAAAAACACGCAAGTCTAAGCTTAATACATTAAGAAACTGATTACAGGTAAAATCTCACCCTCAGAGATGTTCCAATAAGCTTCTTTCACAGACTAGACTCCTTCCTAGTCTGGGCCCAATCCTTTCCCCTGGTACAGTCCTTGTTAGTTCCAGCAGACATCTCAGGTGGTAAGCAGGGGTTTTCTCATGACTGGCAGCCCCCTTTGTCCTGCTCCACACCCTTTTATAGCTTTGGCACAAGGCAGGGATCTTTTGTCTGTGCTTGGCCCCCACCCCTCCTTCTGAATGGAAAAGTACAAGATTTAAGATGGATTTCAGTATCGGGTCACATGTCCCTGTGAAACCTCATTCTTCATTACCAATGGGCTGGCCCACATGTAGACAGGAAGGCTTGCAGGTAAATAATCCCATTCACAGTTCATTGATTCTGAAGCACCGTTAATGGCTTCCACTTAATATGTTTACATCAGTAATACAAGTTTATATCTTATTTTTGTAACTAAAAATAAATTATTTTTCTATTTTTTTTAATACATGCAAACAAATAGGATGAACACACACAGTAGATTACAAGCTTTGTAATGATACCATACAAGGGGTATTCAACATAAAGCATATTCCAGTTATGTCATATTCATAAGCATATTTCCATAAAACACATGGAATGCAACATCACCGGGGACATGGGGAAAATCTGTGGGATAGTGGCACTGTAAGGAGTCATGGTGAGTGAGCGGCACAGGGAAACTTGGGTTGCATATGATACGTTTGGAGGAGAAGTGGAATTTGGGCTGGAAGGGGCCTAGGAAAGTGAGTAGTGAGGCTGGGTGTCATGTTCTGTGATCCAATCCGGACGAGTCAGGGGTTGTGGCACCACCTGCCCTCTAGCCCTGGGTGCCTTAAATGTTCTGCTGCTGTGGCTCACAGCCTGGACACCAGCAGACAAGCATTCACTGAGTATCTCTGTGTTAAGCAGCTCTGGTTCAGCAACTCTGATTTCAGCAGCCCACTTGTTATACCCCAGCCACACTCTGGTATCCACCAGCCATGGTTACTACTAGCCAAGTGACCCAACACGCTCCCAGTCCCAAATTTTCCCAAAACTGTGTGCTCTGCAATGTCCAGCTCTTTCCTTGACCTTTCAGAGGAATAATAAGATTTGTTTGCTCCTCTAAGGAGACAGAGTTCACAGCTTATTCCTTTAACTTGCGTTAACAATCACTTCAATCCAAACGCGATAAATTGATCCCCGAATCGATGCCCGTACTCCACCTCCGCAGGAGGAGTAAGCGGAGTTGACGGGGGAGCCACGGCGGTCGACTTGCCGCCTGGAGGACGGCTAGGTACGTCGAATAGCGTAGCTGAAGTTGCGTACCTTAGATCGACACCCCCCCCCCAGTGTAGACCAGCCCTAATAAGCCCCTTGCCCTCTTGCATTGGAATGCTGTTAGGGTCACAGTGGTTATTCGTGCTCGTGGGTTGAGTCTGTAAGATTGAAAGATCCAGATGTCTTCACTTGGAAAGGTAAGAGTCAAAGTGTGGTCTGGTCTCTGTGTAAAACTTAGGTCGACCTAGCTATGTCACTTCGGGGTGTGAAAAATTCACTCTCCTGAGAGATGTAGTTAGGTCAACCTAAGCCCTGGTGTAGACTCCACTAGGTGGATGGAAGAATTTATGACTGTGACAGAAAAACCCCTTCCATCTCTGTAGCAAGTGTCTGTTATAATGGCGTAGCTGCAGTGCCGCAGCTGTGCTGCTGTAGCCCTTGTACTGTAACTATACCCTGTATTTCTGCTCTGGCATACCGCCAGCATAGCTGAATAGCCGCTTCTGAAGAAAAAGGCTGTGGGAAAAAATATCTGTTAACACAGCATTTTAGTTAGAGAAATAAGTGTGTGTTTTCTGTTGATAAGATTGTTGCATTACTATACTTGCATTTAATTATTTTAAAAATGCTGCTTTTTGTAATATTATGGTAATTACTTTTGAAAGGCTAGGTAATTTTTACTCATCCTATGACTGTAAATGTTTAGCTCACTATTTTGGTAGACTTGCATATAAATTTATATATCTTTGTGTGTGGGGGGGTGGGTGGTGTGGGGGGGTTCTCTTTACCTTGTGAGTACTGGAGTTTATCTCTGACACAGCAATTGGGATTATGAATTTAATGGGCAGGTGCCATACAATGGTAGGTGGCTACATACCAGATGCCAACAAAATTAGTAGGGTGCAGCTTTTAGAAACTTTCCTGGGAGGAAAGAAAAGTCAGTTAAAGCATACTGGGAAAAATCTTTTGAAAGGGAAGCAAAGTCCTGGGCTCGTTTGATGATGGTTGAATTGTCCTTCTCACAGAATGAATTTCAGATCAAGTTGAGGGTTTGTCTGCTAGGCTATCCAGGGATAACATCTCCATTTTTACAGGCCAAAGTTAGGGTAATCTTAGTTTAAACATAAAGATAGGGACGAGGTTCTTGTTTTTAGAATTGCACATAGTTTTAGTTTGGTATTCCTGTATCAGAAGTGTTGGTTCGTTTAGTCATTTCTCTTACTGTTCTTTCAGGAATCTGTTTTGTATATAGCCAGTTACAAGTGTTACACTTGTAAATATTTTCTTATTTTGTTTTTTCCTGGTGTTGTGGGGACTGCTTTATTTATTTAAAGTCAATGGCAAGAGACCAGAGTAGAGTCTTTGAAACATGCTCTTCATTATCTATAAAAAGATCCAGATATGTGTAAACACTTAAAATAAGGGTACATTTGGTAGCAGCAAAAACAGAAGTAATTTCTTCTTTTCTATTGAAAGAGCCCATAAATTGCATTGTTTAGGGATTACAAGCCATTACAGGGACAAGAGCTATGGAGTGGGAAAATCTAAGTTCAGCTTAATTTCTTCTGAAACACAGTACTAAATAACTGAGGCCTTGTCTAAACTATGGGGAGGAGGGGGAATCGATCTAAGTTACGCAAGTTCAGCTATGTGAATAACGTAGCTGAAGTTGACGTACTTAGACCTACTTACTGTGGGGTCCACACTAAGCTATGTTGGCGGGAGCCACTCTCCCGTTGACTCCCCTTGCGCTTCTCGTTCAGGTGGAGTACAGGAGTCGACGGGAGAGCGATCTGCGGTCAATGTAGCAGGTCTTCACTAGACCCACTAAATTGACCACCAATGCATCAATCGCCGCGCATCGATCCCCCGTTAAGTGTAGACACGCTCTGAGAAGGAACTCCAGGAGATAAGCTTTACCCCTGAGACTGTTATATAAGGAAAAATCGGATGAATTGAGTGGTAACATCTCCAGGTTATTATTTCCTTTAAAAGGAAATTAATCAAATTCCCTTTTTTAAGTTGAATAACGCATCTTATTGGAGGCCATGTTCAGGGTGATTGGCTAATGTTTATTGGCAGGCTGTTCTGAGCACAGTGAATGAATAGCATGGAAGGAAGGCATGGAGTTGGCAGTGAGCAAAGGAAACAAAAGGAGCAATTGGAAAAGAGGCTTGATCAGAAGATGTGTGACAAGATGTCAGGTTTGTAGGGCACTGCATTTTGGTGCAGAGCTATTCTGCTTACTCACTCTGGCAGCCAGAGCAGATGGGTCTCATTAGCTTACATTCAGGAACATAAAAGGTAGCGTCTTTAAGTCAAGAAAAGGGCTTAGAGAAGGCAGACAAGAAGTTCAGGCTAAAGTTTGTTGTTTAGGATAATCCCAAGATGAGTGGGAAGGAGGTCTGTTTGGACTCTAGCCTTGTGTCTGTGTGTGCCATATTGAGAACTGAGTGGGGATTCCAACCATTCCCACAGGCAAAGGGATGGAATGTGGGAGGCGAGGGGATGAGATCAGCAATATAAATGAGAGAGAGGATTGATGGAGTAATTTTACGGTGAGAGTGAAAAAGCTTGACCTGAATGCAGAAAACTAGGAAGAGCCAATTTGGAAGAGGAGATTATGGCAGCAACATTTTGAACAGACTGAATGCGAATAGATGGAAGTGGGAAAGCGAAGAAATGCTTACAGCAGCCAAGGTGGGAAAAAGCCAGGGCATGGCTAATCATTGTATCAATGGTGCTAGAGAGAGAAGTATAAATATAGGTGTTCTTATAGCAGTATATAAACAAATGAGGCTGTGGATATCACAAAACAATACTGTGTGTGCTAAAGATCTGAGACATGCAACTGTTTAACACTAAAATATTTTCAATTTCAATTATACCCCCAGGAGCTGGAGTTGTTCTTTCCCTCAAGTGGAGGTCGTGGTCCAGCCAATAGTGCAAAATTTACAAACTGTACTTGTTGCATTATTAAGCCTCATGCTGTTAATGAAGGTGAGTAACATGGGCCTGATCATGCTGACATTACTAATTTGGGGGAATAAAAGTTTGCAGAGTCAGGATGTATATTTCACTATTGACTCGGAAGTGCTGTATAGCACAATCGCGGCCTTTTAGATGGTTTACTGCTGTGATTTCTGTCCTCAAAGAGAAAATCATGTACTTCTTCTTCGAGTGATTGTTCACGTCCATTACACTTAGGTGTACGCACGCCGCGTGCACGGACGTCGGAAACTTTTTCCCTTAGCGGCTCCCGTCGGGCCGGCAGGGCCCCCTCCTTCCCGCCAGAGCGGCGCCCCGCTCCAGGGTATATATATCCCTGCCTACCCGACCCCTCCAGTTCCTTCTTACCGTCCGTGGCGGCGTTGGAACAACTCTGTCTCTCGTCTGAGAGTGTC